AGGAATGCATTCTTTCTCCAGATACATGGCTGCCTGCTGGGGATACGATAACCTCAAGATTACCCTAAAGTGTCAAGTAAGAGAGACAATAATGGTCGGTATTAGAAGGACAGAGGGTGTCCTGGGGAGACTACATCTTGTCCTATGTCCCACCTCTTTTCTGTGGCTTCCCCTGCATCGTGTTCCTGTGGGCTGGGACATTCCCACAGAGCCTTGCAATGGAGCCCTGCTCTCCTGCCAGGATGCGCATGGTGGTCGAGAGCCTCATAATCCGCTCCTTGTGAAAGATATACTGGAGGGCCAACCCTGTAGCACAGCAGTTAGGTGCTGCACAGAGGGAGCCAGATCTCACATGGCCAGCCAGGGTTCAAGCTCCAAATCCAAAAGTTTGAAAAACATGCCAGGTCACACGTGCATGCCCAAGATCCTGAAGGCATAGAGAATTGGGAGGAGAAAGGAGAGCAGCATGATCAAGCCCCATTAAGGGTTTCTCTCATGTTCTCGCTCATGTTCTCTCTCTCTCTCTCTCTCTCTCGCTCTCTCCCTCTTTCTCTTTTGCACATGTACCCTCTATCATTAAAAAGAAAAAAAATGTTGGAGATGCAAACAGCAATGTCATCAAAATAAAGACCCGAACATCGTAAATATCTCCAAGCTTATCATCTCATTTAAAAAGCAAAAATAGCTTGTTCAAGTTCCCTGCAACAGGGATAAGCCAGTACCCAGAAAACAATGTCCCCATGTCACTCATTGACCTAAACCCACACTTAGCCAAGGTGTGCATGAGCCTCGCTCGTCACTGGCGATCATTTGACTCACCTTCTCAGAAACTTAATGGACCACATGCTAGGTCTTAGCAGTGGAATCTTAGCAATGACTAAAAAAGCCAACTCCCCAAAGATTGCTGACAGCATATTTTTGTGTAAACTTAAAAGGAATTTAAGACAAAAAGAAAATCACAATTAGTAGAAATATATAGCTTTGGTAAAGCTTTATAAAAATAAAAGCAAAGCAGATGGCGTGTTGGTTAAGGGCACACTGGACTTCCACATGGCCAACCATGGTTCGAGTCCCAGACCTAGCAACTTGCCTTCTCACTTTCTGTCTTTCTCTCTCTCACTCTGTCCCTCACATTAAAATAATTACATAAGTAAATAAAGTCAACTAAAGTAATTCTTAAAAAAAAAATTTTTAAATAAAAGCAAAAAAAATGAAGATGGCATGATTGAGGATAGCCGTTACCTGAAAGGGGAAGGCAGGAGGACAGGCAGGTAAACAGAAGGCATTGTCAGTGATCTGGGCATCATTAGGGTCTTTCTTTCTTAAGTGCTTGAGGTTTTTGAAGTTCATTTACTTGTTCCATGAGAAAGAGAGAGAGAGATAGGCACCCACAAAAGATCTTCATTCTGTCATCTGTCCCCATCCTCAGCCAGCCCAGGTCAGGGCACACAAGCACATGGCTGATGGGCACGGGGAGGCCTCGGGATGTGAACCCAAGACTTCTCCATGTGAGCCCAGTTGTGTTATTGCTAAACTACTATCTGGCCCCCAAGTTTTATTGTTATTTTTTATTGTTATTTTTTTTTTGGTGTTGTTTGAATTTTCCATAGAGTGTGTGTACCCTCCAAAGAGAGAAAGAGAGAGAAAGGGAAAGT